CCACCGCAACCAAGCTGAGGGCCAGGGCTGTTGGGGAAGGGCTCGCGTCTGCTGCCCCCACGCCCGGTCTCAGGACCCACACGCACCTTCAGCGTCGGGTAGAAGACGACGTGCCTCCCACCGCGGCTTCTGCAAGACAGCAGAGCCCTCAGTCCGCCAGCCCGACTCCCACCCGCCTCTGCTCCTCCCAGCCCCACCCCCCTCCAGCCAAGGCCGCAGGTGCCCCTCCTCGGGCCAGGCCGGCCCTCAGGGGCAGAGGCCGAGCTTGAGGCCCGCATCGCCTGGGGCTGCCCCCGGACACTCACTTCTTGTACTCGAAAAAGTGCTCTGCGGCCTGGCTGTCCCACACCATCTGGGGCCGGTGGTCCTTCAGCGTCTGGATGTACCTAGGGGAAGCCGGGTGTGGGTGCGGGGGCCCTCCCCCGCCCACCCGAGCACCTGGATGGGGTGGAGGTGGCCTCTGCCATCATGGAAGGGGTGAGGCCACCAGAGGGCAGCAGGATGCGGGGTGTCATCCCATCCCCCGATGGCCTGTGGAATGCCTGCAGCACACTGGGCCAGGTGGGAGGTCCACGCATGTGGCCCAGACACAAAGAAAAGTCAGGAAGCAGGACCATGGAACGGGGTCTGGTACACTGGGGCCAGGGCTGCAGCAGCCGGGTCCTCACTGGGGGTAGGGGGAGGACAGAGACCCCGAGAGGCTGCTGAGATGTGAGCAGAGGCCGTGGCCGTGCTTCAGAGCTCACACCGCACCCTGAGCTGGCGGCACGGCGCGCAGGTGGAGCGCGGGCCCCACGCTGTGGGCGCAGCGCCTGCTGGGCCGGTGGTGGTGCGGGCAGGCACTCGCGGGGTCGGCCCAGGGGAGACTCTGCACCTGCTGCGACTTCTGCAGTTGCGGGGGAGGTTTGGGGCCAGCCGCAGGCCTGAGGATGAACGAGAACCGGGGGCAGCCTCGGCACCACCCCCCACCCCGGAGGGGGGACAACAGTCCAGGGCAGTGGTTTCCGGGCCCTTTCAGAGGCCAAATTGTCCTCGACCTGCCTCCTTGCTGGGGACACAGCTGCCCCAAGCTCACGGGAGGCCCCGCCTCACTGCCAGGAGCAGGGGTTGAGAACCCCTCCCCGCCCAACAGAGGATACACAGAGGACAGGCCGGTGCTCAAGGTGCCACATGGCCAGGACAACTGGGGTCTCCAGCTCACCTCATGTCTTCCTGGCACGCAGCTGATGCCCAGACAGGCCGGAGACCTGCAGCCTGGGCCCAGGGAGGGGGCTGCGGTGCTCCAGGCTGCACCCTGCACATCGGCAGTGGGTTGGGGCTGGACAGAGCCCCCCATCAACCAGCTCGAATCATCCAAAATTACTGCGTTATACTTAATTAGCGCAATGCTCTTGGGATGCTTGATGTCATTTGCAGCTTTGGATCCAACGTCGGCTACGTGGCTGAGACAGATGTGGGATGTGCAGGAATGGGATGTGTGGGGAAGGGTGAGGCATCCCGACCCAACCTGTCCCTGAGCCCCCGAGTCCCAGGGCAGATGTTGGCGGGCAGGTGGCTCTGGGCCCTCATGTCTGGTGAGCTCTGGCTGTGCACTCCTCCTCCGGGGCTTCCTCTCAAAATCTGCTACCTGATGGAGGTGGTGAGGCTGTGGGGGCGGCTGAGGCTGGGGGTTCAGCCAGATCCCTGAGAGCACCTGGTCCCTTCCCTCTGAAGGCCGAGGCTTGGCGGTGCC